TAACATCCTAACACATGAGCTTCATTTTTTTGTTTCTATATAAACACTTACACACACACTTTTTTTCTGAACCATTAGAAAAAATCGGCAGTTATACTTTAAATACTTCATCATAAATCTGAGAATGAGGACATATCTTTCTGTATAACCACAGTATAATGGTATATAATGCACTATCTTTGTGTATCTGCAGTTGTTCCCAAAATGGTTTTTTGTTTGTGTGTTTGTTTTGTTTTCTTTTGTTTTGCAAGAAGGAATGTCTGTTGCCCAGGCTGGAGTTGAGTGGCACAATCTCAGCTCACTGCAATCTTCACCTCCCAGGTTCATGCGATTCTCCTGCCTCAGCCTCCCGAATAGCTGGGACTACAGGCATACACCACCACACCCGGCTAATTTTTGTATTTTTTAATAGAGACGGGGTTTCAACATGTTGGCCAGGCTGGTCTTGAACTCCTGACCTCAGGTGATCCACCCGCCTCAGCCTCCCGAAGTGGTGGGATTACAGGCATGAGCCACCACACCCAGCCTTGTGTTGTTTTTGAGACAGGATCTCATTCTGTTGCCCAGGCCGGAGCACAGTGACAGGATCGTGGCTAACTGCAGCAGCCTTCAACTCCTGGGCTCCAGCAGTTCTCCCGCTTCAGCCTCTGAAGTAGCTGGGACTACCAGTGCGTGCCACACGCCTGGGTAATATTTCTTATTTTTCTTTTGTAGAGACAGGGTCTCTCTCTGTTGCCCAGGGTGGTGTTGAGCTCTTAGCCTCAAGCAATCTTCCTGCTTCGGCCTCCCAAAGTGGTGGGATTACAGGCGTGAGCCACTGTGCCTGGCCCCTAAAATGTCTTTAGCTATTCTTTTTTGTTACCTGTTCTGAGTCCCTCTCAAGATCTGTGCATTACGTTTACTTGTTAAAGCTTCTAAGCCTATCTAGAACAGTCTCCTTGCCCTTTATTGCTTGTTTGGTTTTTCTTGAAGAGTTCTGGCCATTTGTCTTATAAAAATCCTGCTCACTGAGGAGATGCATGAAAATTTACCATTTCCAGCATTTTTGAGTAGTAAAGCCAAGCTCACTCTAATTTTGACTGTTTGCTTGGTATTTCCAACATTCTGGAATTACTGGGTAAAGTTTTTTTTTTCTTTTAATTACATAACTTATGTTTTCAAATCACTTCTCAAAAGATTTATATCGGTTTACAGTGATGGTACACTTGGTTGGATTTCATAGTGTCTGTCTTCCTAAAAGACACACCATCTGTCTTTCCCCTCCCCGTGCTGCTGAGACAAAGTTTTGCTCCTGTTGCCCGGGCTGCAGTGCAGTGGTGCAGTCTTGGCTCACTGCACCCTCCACCTCTCGTGTTCAAGCAATTCTTCTGCCTCGGTCTCCCGAGTAGCTGGGATTACAGGCGCATATCTGGCGCCTGGCTAATTTCTGTATTTTTAGTAGAGATGGAGTTTCACCATGTTGGTCAGGCTTGTCTCGAACTCCTGACCTCGTGATTTGTCCACCGCAGCCTCCCAAAGTGCTAGGATTGATTACAAGCGTCAGCCACAGCACCCGACTAAAGACTTTTATACAATGGAGTGTTGTTGTTGAATAAATTCCAGCCATAGGAGTTGTATGTTTATCATATGTAATGAAAACCCCAAGAATGCCAGAAAATCAGCTGTGTGTTGAGACTCTTGCATCTTTTCTTTTTCCCCTAACAGTCTCCAGAATATGTGAATTGAAGTTAGAATTAAATGTGTCATAATGTTTGATAAGGGGCTAATATCCATTATTTAAAATAATGGTATTTTAGGAATTTAATGATGCATTCAAATCTAATTGTTCTGCTTTGTGTGGCAGATTACTCTGTTGCAGACTGGAAACAGCAAAGGCTATGCATTTGTGGAGTTTGAGTGTAAGGATGTTGCCAAGATAGTTGCTGAAACAATGAACAACTACATGTTTGGTGAAAGGCTCTTGGAGTGTAAGTGCTCCTGTGTCTGTGGTAGCAGGGTTGCCTGGGTGCCTGCTGCTGGTGGGTGACTGTGGTGGGAAGGGCGGCTTGCTTAACTGCTTGGACGTGCCAATTCCTCTGTGGATGAGTCTTACAGAATGGTGCAAGGATTTCAGTGTCTGTCGCAGGCAGATTCTAATTGGAATTTTAAAATCTCCCATCATAAGAGCTCTTTTTATCCTAAATGGAACTGGACAAGTTACCTTGGGGACACACAGGAGGAGCAGCTAACCCATGCTTATGGGCTGTGAAAGACTTACCTGGGGAAAGAGCATTGACATTGAAACCTGAAGACTAAGCAGGAGCCAGCCAGGTGAAGGGACAGAAGTGAAGACAGACCATTCCCGGCCGAGGGACAGTGAATGCCAGACTAGAGGTGCCTGACCATTTGGCTGTGAGGGAATGTGAGGAAAAGTAGCAAGAGATGAGGGAGCAGGAATAGGCTTCAGGTCGGGTTACTGAAGGCTTTCTAAGTCAGCGAGTTCAGAATTCATCCTTAGGGCAGTGGGATAGCAGCAAAGGTCAGGAATCGCATTGCAGAATCCATCTAAATGGCAGTGGCTGTAGCTCTTCCACATGAGAGAAGCTGGAAGGCGTAGGGCAGTGACAGCACCAGATTAGAAATTCATCCTGCAGAAAGGAGCCAGTGCAGCCCCCACCCTGCAGTCCACAGAGTGCAGAGAGCATCCGTCTCCAGATCCTGCTGCCCTTGGGAGGCAGAGCGAAGTTTCTGGCCTCCCTGTGCCCGTGGTGGCCTGTGGCCATCTTAGGTACCCAAGTTCACAGCTGACAAGGCTGCCCAGGTAGCATCTCTCTATTCACTTCCCATTGCCGTGAGAGAAGCCGGGATTACAGGTGTGAGCCACTGTACCCAGCCACGTCGTGATGAGTGTGAGGAATTGCATTGGGGAGATTCTAAAGCTAACATTAAAATTCCTTTCCTGCCATTTGGTTGAAACTTTTAATGTTTTTTTCTTTTTAAAAATAGGTCGTCTTATGCCACCTAAGAAAGTCCATAAAGAGCTCTTTAAAGACTGGATGTTCCATCGAAGCAGCCGTCACATCCATCAGTGAAACGTTAAAATCGGACACAACCACAAAAACTACGGATGCAGGAGCGATTTAAAAAGAAAGAAAGGTTACTCAGGAAGAAACTAGCTAGAAAGGGAATCGATTATGATTTTCCTTCTTTGGTAAATATTTCTTCATGAAATCTTATTTTGTGATTTGTTGCGGGGAGAGGAGGGGGTGGCCTTGTGTCTCGTGAAGTACCTAGCCTAGTACTTAACCACAACCTTGGCTCACTGCAGCCTGCATCCTGGGTTCAAGCAATTCTCCTGCCTCTAGCCTCTCAAGTAGCTGGGATTACAGGTGCATACTACCACGCCCAGCTAATTTTTGTAGTTTTATAGATGGGGTTTCTCCATGTTGTCCAGGCTGGTCTCAAGCTCCTGACCTCAGGTGATCTGCCCACCTCAGCCTCCCAAAGTGCTGGGATTACAGGTGTGAGCCACCATGCCCAGCCAGTTTTTTTACTGAATTTTTTTTTTTTTTTTAATACAGAGTCTTGTTCTGTTGCCCATTCTGGAGTGCGGTGGCACAATCTCTGCTCACTGCAACTCCCACCACCCAGGTTCAAGCCATTCTCCTGCCTTACCCTCCTGAGTCGCTGAGATTACAGGTGTGCACCACCACACCAGGCTAATTTTTTGTATTTTTAGTAGAAATGCGGTTTGGCCATGTTGGCCAGTCTGGTCTCAAACTCCTGATAGCAGGTGATCATCCACCTCAGCCTCCGAAAGCGCTGGGATTACAGGCGAGAGTCACTGTGCCTGGCCTGACTAAACTTGAAACATTGTAGGTTCTTCCTAAAACATGAGAGCAGATTCTGTTATT